AAAGTAATCCCTAACATATAAACACTAGTTGAGTTTTCCATATTGACTTGCTAACCTTGACTTGACTTTGACTTGACCAGAAGCTTGTTGGTTGTCACAATTTTCAATTCAAATGAGGAGATAAACAAATTCGATGTGAAGTCTGATGAGGGTATTTTCTTGGGATATTCGCTGACCTCCAAAGCATGCAGGGTTCTCAGTAAGAAATCCAAAAAGATTGAAGTAACGTATTATGTTACGTTTGATGATAATGAAGAGGTATCAACACACTGTGAATCAATCAGAGGAGATCTTCCCACAAGCGAATCGATCAACCACTCCACTGGCCAATCTCTACAAAGACTTCATGTTATTATTTGACGAACCTACGAAAGCAATATCATCATAATCCAACGCAGTAGACAACAAAGAGGATGAATTAAAGAAGATAATTGACGAAGTTGTGAATGATATGCACAAAGAACCGTCAAATGTGAATGTCCTTCATGACACGAACGCTACATTCGAGGGGGAGGATTCCAAATCACCTTCTAATGCAACTTTTCAGGGGGAGCACTCCACTCCATAATAGAATCCCACACGTCCACCATAGGGGGATTCAACACCTGAAGACGAGACATTCACATCATTTGAGGGGGAGAAAGACCATACGAATGATGATTCAGATTTACAATCTAAATTTGAAGACATGAATGTTGAACTGGATCCTTCTTGTGATCCGAATTACCATCCACTGACTAAATGGACCAGAGATCATCTGAAAACACAAGTCATTGGGGAATCATCAGCATGGGTTCTAACTAGATCTCAACAAAAAGCAAAACAAACAACACTATTCTCTAAAATGGAATTTTCCATGTTTAATTCGTTCATATCCAAAATTGAACCCAAAACCGTGAATGTTGCTCTCGATCACTCTAATTGGGTGCAAGCAATGCAAGATGAGTTTAATGTGTTTGAAAGGAACAAGGTATGGAGATTAATTCCCACTCCACCATATGCATCTGTAGTTGGTCTCAAATGGGTGTTTCACAACTAGATAAAGAAGGGAACATGATCAGAAACAAAGCAATACTTGTTGTCAATAGATATTATCAAGAAGAGGGCATGGACTACAAAGAGACCTTCACACCAGTTGCAAGGTTGGAATCTGTTCGTATCTACTTGGCATACGCAACACATAAAAACTATGAAGTATTTTAAATGGATGTTAAATGTGAATTCTTGAACATGGAACTTGAAGAAACAGTGTATGTGGAGCAACCATCTGGCTTCGTAAACGAGAAGTATCCTAATCATTACTACATCCTAGACAAAGCGGTCTATGGTCTAAAGCAAGCTCCAAGAGTCTGGTACGAAACTCTCACTTGTTTCTTAAAAGTGTCTAAATTTAAACAAGGTTCGGTTGACCCAACCTTCTTTCGCAAGAAAGAGGATGACCACTTAATGATCGTCCAAATTTATGTTGATGACATTATCTTCGGATCAACTAATCCTAGCTTAATAGATGACTTCCAAAAGCTAATGGAACGAAATTTGAGATGAGTTCAATGGGTCCAATTAAACTTTTCTTTGGATTGAGCATAAGATAGAGCCGGGAAGGTATTTTTATAAATCAGGAGGCATATACGAAGACCTTGCTTGCTAAGTTTGGGATGGTAGGAGACTCAAAAGTGAAGGTTTCAATGGCATTCGGAACGAAACTAACTCCATATTTGGACAAACCGGTTGCATACATGACACTCTATCGTCAAATGATAGGTTCTTTAATGTACTTAAATGCGAGTCGACAAGATATTATGTTTTCTATTTGTTATTGTGCTAGGTTCCAAGCGAATCCTCGAGAACCACACGTGATCGCTGTCAAAAACATATTTCGGTGTTTAAAACGAATATCTTCACTTGGAATATGATGTTGATCTTGGAGTTTATGGGTTGGATAGAAAGAGTACGACCGGAGAATGCCAATTCTTGGATGGCAAGCTCATAAGTTGGCAATCCAAAAAGCAAACCTGTGTTTTCTTTTCCACTGCTGAAGCCGAGTATATTGTTGCTGCCTCATGTACTTCACAGTTCATATGGATTCAAACTCAACTTCGTGACTATGGCCTAAACATGAAACGAATCCCACTATACTGTGACTCCGAAAGTGCCATTCGCATTTGTCACAACCCAGTGCAACACTCAAAGACGAAACACATAACACTGAGGTATCACTTTATCAAGGATCATGTGGAAGATGGGAATGTTGAGGTACATTTCGTAAGGTCTGCTAATCAGTTAGCTAACATATTCACGAAATCCATACCATAAACGACCTCCAATAAAATATTTCAAGTCCTATGAATGATGGAAGTTGAATCTGTTCCAAACCCACTCTCGCTTTCATAAAGTTATCACTGCGAATTGATGCGAACACTCACATTGATTCGTTGTCAACTGTTCATTTGTGGTTCGGATCCTCTTATATCATTTTGTATATTATGTACATTATTGTCTTTCCTTGTTTCATTTTTGAATATCTTACTATCTTTATTTTTTTAAGAAAAACAAAAATATTTTTCTTTGTGTTTCATTTTATTTCTTTTAGATTTATAAAATACTAAAAATAATAGATCATCGAGAAGCTCGTAAAGGCACACATTCGCAGTCATTCTCAGTTCATTAAATGGGGCAGGTGTAAATTTCTTTACCTTTGTACTAGCTAAGTGCCCTTAGAATCATGTTGTTGCATGTTAGCTGAAGCCTCAACAACTCTATGTTGAAGCCTTAATGAATCGATTATACCAATCGTTTCTTCCCAATCAGGCTGTTAAATTCACATAAGTCATGAGCTACCTTACTCTTCTCAATTTGAGTTAAGAGTTATCTGCTTGGTTACTTTAGCATAGCAGATGTACATTCGCTTCTCTGGAACCACCTTCATATTTCTCCATTACCTTCACACTCACGAATGTAACCCTTGAGACTCTAAGCTATTACCACTAAGGTTTATGGTTACACAACATCTGTGTTAATGATCTTAGTATTGTTCAACCACGAACCGAGTGAAACCCAACATCCAACACAGTGAACAAATAAACATTCACGATTTTCACCAAGGAATTAATGAAAGCTAGTTTCGTGCTCTGTACCATGAAATCTCTTTTTCTTTTGCGAGATCTTTATGAAATGTTCTAGTCCCAAGACATTTCTTCCCATAAGATTCGGTTTTTTTTAGATTTCTAAATTTAACTTGTCACTAAAATAATTCCAAACCTACCCGTTCAATTGACTACACTGGTCACACGAGTACTTCATCCGAACGCTCATACTTATCTCACGTTTCGGTGTTTGGTTGAAGATAAAGCCACAATGTAAGCCTGAAGAAAAGATGCCTTTCACTGATTCTTAATAAACAAGTAATCCTAATTTCACGGGGAGCCACACAAACACTTCTAAGTCTCTCTTGACTTTGAAGGAAGAGATCTTTGTTTGGGATCCACAGTTTCATGTCTTAAAATAGACATCACTAAATTCCCATATATGTTTTGCTTTATTTCTTTATATTTGACACACTCTTGCACGAAGATCTTTGTGATTGTCAAAAGTCTGGTTCATGGCAATTTCATTCATTTTCAGATTCAGGGTTCAACTTGACTTCTCATTAAAAGTGAATGCGGGTATCCATATGCGACAGGTGGAAAACATCTTAACTGCGAAAGAGTATAACGTGACGTGGAAATTTATCTGGATAGAACTTCAAATGGGCGCGTGAATTTTTGAACGGAGGTTTCCATCTCCATTGTATGACGCACGCTTCTGACGTAACAGTTGTCATGTCGCAGTTTTGCAAGCTACTTTTTAGTTCCTAATGCAATCTCTCTCCAAATTTCTCTCACCAAACAAACTGTATAAAATGGTTTTGGTGCTTCATCTCTCCTCGCAACTCACATATACTCTCAAAGATTTCTGGCGATCAAATCATCTACTATTCATCTTCTTTCTCAAGCAATCAACAATGGCGGGTTCCTCTGAAACGCCCTCAGTTCAAGATCAAACAACGCAATCTTCACTCCTTACTATTAAGAAAAATCAGAATTTGGTGATCGATCTCGATCCGTGCAAGTATGATAGATATATGCTTCGTATTGTTGAATGTCTGAAAGACTCTCCGTTGACCATTGCACTCACCAAGATGGAAAACGTTCCGATGTCACTTTTATCTAAAGCCTATTCTTCTGCCGGTTTTATCAAGAAAGAACAGATGATTGTGTTTGAGAGCTACAACCGCAAAACCTCCATCTCTAAATCTTGATTCTGCTCTGTTCTAGGGCTTTCTCAATCGGACGATATGATTAACCCTGAATCTGCTTCTAACGTTGATCTACTGGAGATTTTTTATCAAATGGGGTATAAAGAAACCCTAAACGTTGTCTCCAAGTTCTAGAAACCTAATCTACCACCCCAATGGAATGGCATTTTCACTCTGTTGTTCAAAGTCTTTTCTGAAAGAGTGACTGGATCAGATTGCGCTAGCAAGCTGTTCATGGTGATCATTTATGGAATCTACATAGGTCTTAATGTTGATTATGAGGCAGTTCTAGAGGCTCAAGTTATCTAGAGCACCCACTCTGCCACACGTCAATGTGAAGTCTCTTGTGCACGTTTCTGGACCATCATCGTTCAGAGGGCCATTGAGAAACTTCAAATTCCAGTGATTCAAGATGCGATGGTGGCATCTATTTCAACTTTTCACACCACATGGATCATTGTTGTTAATAATTCTAAATTTTATTTTGTTGGATCAATTCTGAAGGCAATGTTTCGTGAGATGCCTGTAGCAAGCAAAATCCTTGAAGCCTACCGGGAAATTTCTTCTTCAGGGCTTCGTCCGTTAACTCAAGAGATACAATCCATTATTGCGGAAGCAGACAAGCCCAAGAAAGGGGGTCAAAAAGGTGGGAAGAAAGGATGAAAGAAACCAGAGGGGCAAGAGGGTCCATCTACTTAAACTCAAGCTCTAAAGAAACGAAAAGGTCAAACTGGTTCACCTGCACCAAAGAGGCGAAAGATCAAAAAGACGGCTTGCAAGCCCAAGTCCCCAACTTCGACCGAAAGCGAACGTTCGTAGTCTGATACTCAATTCGATGTTTGCCTTGAGGAGGGTGACCATGTTCGCAATGAAGATGCTACATCGAACCCTGAGGTAACTCCAACTTACAATGACTTCTTTCCATCTACTCCTCCTTCACACAAAACCACAACCACAACCACACCAATAACTATTGCTCCATTCCCACCACGAGACTCTTCTCAATCATAGGGTAGTATTCCTCTATCTACTCCATTATTTACTGATTCCACTGCTCCACCAACAACATCAGCCACACCTCCTGTTTCTGTCAACGCATTTGATGCGGGGGCAGGTGCATCAGGTTTCACATCTACTCATATCTCACCACCTATTTCCCCACTTCGCCAAAACGACCCAGATATGATTTATGGGGATGATGAAGACGACTTTGAGGGATTCACCTACAGTTTATTCACCATCAGGACTGAAAGTGATGACGAAGCTCTAGTCATGAGGGGGAAACTTATGGCAATACATGAAAAACTTGACTCGTTGATTCAAGCTTCAAATCCTTCATCAACTGATGAATATTCTCAAGCTACGGTCAAGTCCCTTCTCGAGACTCTCACCAAGGAACACTCAACAAATCTAGAGAAGATGAACAAGGGAGTGGATGACACTGCCACTGTCTGCAACAATACGACTGAAAAAGTCGATAAAGTAATTTTTGATGCCACAGCATTCATGAATAACTTCCAAACATCCTTTGAGTCGAACACAGCTAAAGCCAACGAAGCAATCTCTAATCTTGGCTCCTCTCTTAAAGCTGAAAGGGAAAAATTTCAAGAAGTTCGTACTGGAATTAAAAATGATCATGATGAGTTCAAATCCTCCATCTCCTCACAGATTTCCAAGCTTCGGGATGACCTTGCAATGGAGAGTAAGATAATGGACTCCCTCACTATCAAGAATGAAAAAGTCAAAGTTCTATTTGTCAAACTAGAACAGGCTGAGAAACAAGTCAAGGATTTGTTATCTAAGAGGGCAGTAATGAAAATCTGTAGCACAGACGTTACTGGCTTACTCTCAGATATCATTGAGACTAGGGGCTCAATGATCACTATTACAATTAGAAAACATCTAGTTGAAAAGCTCAGGCTCGTCTTCGTCATGCTTCATCATTTAGAGGGTGTTCCGAAATCAAGCAGCATTTTGAAACAAGGGAAGATTAACCAAAGAAGACTTTAGCCAAGCCAAACATTAAAAGCGAATCTGAACCTAATGGAAAAGAAAAGTTTTTCTCTTAAGAACCAATCGTTGATAACAGTGAGGAGGAGGAGCTAGATGAAGACGAACTTAAAACGAGAAAGGATCATGAAGTTGAGTTGGATGAAAATCAAAGAATTGTTCGAGAGGCAGAAGCTAAAGAAAAGGATGAAAAAGAAGCTCAGGTCACACTTGAAAGCAGAAAACTCTTGTTTCCTGTGTGGACACTGTAGCGAATTCAAGACAGGAAGTAGTGTACAAATGTTTGTCTGGGAGGAAGAAACATGCTTTATGAAGATCAACATCGTTCCATTCCCTTGCTTGAAATACCACATGCCAACCTTCTTTGTGAATTTTCCCGAGCTTCAACTTCTCAAATCCTTTCGGAGCTTCTTTAGGGACAGCAAAAGGCTTCCTTCGCAGCACGACAACTATCTCTACATCCATATTTCCCACCTCTTGTATATATGAAACAATCATGAGCTTGAGGTGAGCGATAACAGACTTGTACTTCTGTTCTTCTCTCAGCAATAAGTTGTAGAGCATGATCCAGTCATATAGGTTGAGACACGGAAGGTCTGCGAGAGTAAATTCGTGAACTTGATTCGCAGAACCTCTGACAACTTTGAATTTTGCATTTGGGAAACTGTCAGTCTCAATTGGTTCGGTGACCTTCACTGTCGTTATCTTGCTAGCATTCCATGTTTCGTACTGTGGCCTCATGTGCTTGAGACAGAATGTGAAGAGTAGTTGGTTAGCACTGTTATCAGTAGATGGGACATTCGCAACTCTTACGAAAGAGCGAAACTTGAATGCCTTAGGAGTTGTTGGAAGATCCAGTTGTGAGTCTTATGTATTCTGAAGTTCGTATGACACAACCGGTTCTAACCAATATTGATTAGGTGAGTCTATAGCTTGATTCTGAATTCGCTGCAGTGTCCACACAGGAAACAAGAGTTTTCTGCTTTCAAGTGTGACCTGAGCTATAGACCCACCTAATCAATATTGGTTAGAACCGGTTGTGTCATACGAACTTCAGAATACATAAGACTCACAACTGGATCTTCCAATAACTCCTAAGGCATTCAAGTTTCGCTCTTTCGTAAGAGTTGAGAATGTCCCATCTACTGATAACAATGTTAACCAACTACTCTTCACATTCTGTCTCAAGCACATGAGGCCACAGTACGAAACATGGAATGCTAGCAAGATAACGACAGTGAAGGTCACCGAACCAATTGAGACTGACAGTTTCCCAAATGCAAAATTCAAAGTTGTTAGAGGTTCTGCGAATCAAGTTCACGAATTTACTCTCGCAGACCTTCCGTGTCTCAACCTATATGACTGGATCATGCTCTACAACTTATTGTTGAGAGACGAACAGAAGTACAAGTCTGTTATCGCTCACCTCAAGCTCATGATTGTTTCGTATATACAAGAGGTGGGAAATATGGATGTAGAGATAGTTGTCGTGCTGCAAAGGAAGCCTTTTGTTGTCCCTAAAGAAGCTCCGAAAGGATTTGAGAAGTTGAAGCTCGGGAAAATTTACAAAGAAGGTTGGCATGTGGTATTTCAAGCAAGGGAACAGAACGATGTTGATCTTCATAAAGCATGTTTCTTCCTCCCGGACAAACATTTGTACACTACTTCCTGTCTTGAATTCGCTGCAGTGTACAAACATTTGTACACTACTTCTTGTCAACAAATTCAAGGGAAACAACGCGGGTGACAAAAAGTGCTTCTCGGACTGATTAAGTGGTATGTCCAGGTTCACAAGGCATTGTTAAGCGTAATGTCAAAAGTATTTGAAGTACAAAAGCGAACCTTACCCTTATAGCACCTCGCTCAATTGACGCAAAGGGGGAGATTGTAGAGATTATTATTTTGCGTCATTGAGCCATTTTGCTTGTTTATTTTGTAGACGGGTTGGGTCTCTCCACCCATCTTTTGGTTCTAGGGATATAGTATTTAAGATGCATGCATGCATCATATTTTGGTAACTTTGGATAATATTTTGTAACCCTAATCTGTAACACCGTAAATTTCAAAACAAAATTTTCAAATTTTATAAACCATAATTCACTTAATATTCATAAAACAACCATTTTTGACATTCAATCCAAGTAATACAAAAATCCCGAGATCTCAAAATCATAAATCCCATGCGTGTGTACTGATCAAATCGGCGCCTTCCCACGGTCGTCACTAATACCTGAAACAAATAACACCAAACACTGTAAGCACAAAGCTTAGTGAGTTCCCTAAAATACCACATATAATACATATTAGCCACTCGAGGCTATAACTCTGTGGGTCCGTGCACCCAAACTCTGTGAACCCTCAGGTTCTAACTCTGTAAACATGCACAACATAAATCACAAAGAATAATGCAACGCAACACATAACATATATATAGCATACAAGCATTGTATCACATAACTCTAGTTACCTACTCAAGGTAAAGTATAGTGAGAAGACTCGCCTCGCGTATCTCGGTAACTCGCAAGTCCCTGAAATCACTCGTGCTCGATCTCTCGATCTATAGTCCTCCTATAATACAATACATCTCTAAATAACACTTTACAACTAAGGTTGACTATCCCTTAACAAGTCAACATAGGTCAACACTGGTCAATGGTCAACGGTCAACTTTGACCGGACTCGGCGAGTGCACTATAGCGACTCGGCGAGTCTATGCGCATACACTGATTTCCCTGGGATCCTCTCTTGACACGACGAGTATTCTCCTAGCTCGACGAGTTCCACCTGGCATGAGTTGTGGGGCCTCCACGACTCAACTCGCCGAGTCTCAAGAACAACTCGGCGAGTCCCAGCTTGACTCAGTCCACCTGTCAACCCACTCTGACTCTCCCTGACTCACTGAGTCAATCCCTCAACTCGGCAAGACCACTCGCTGAGTGGTGCTGGGCAATCTTCATGCTACTCGCCGAGTCTGTTCTTCGGACTCGGCGAGTCCATGCCATGCAACGACTCAAACTCACTCCTGAGGTCAGATCTATTCCATACATTCATAGATCTGGCCTCCCCAAGCATGATAATCACGTAAAGTCCAAACCTTGGGGCTCAAACAACAACTATTTGCTCATAAATGATGTTTTAGCCCCATATCTCATAACTCTAGGCCAATACTCTCATGAACACTCATAAAGCTTAAGGAATACAGCTCTTCTGGACCTCTATGGATCTCATCTCAAGCCTTATCATGATTAGGGACGAAATGGACATCAAATCTAGCCAACAAAGGGGTCAAGAAACCCTAAACCCCCATGTTCATCATAAAAACGAAAAAAGAAGCCAAGATATACCTCCAAGATGATGCTCTGAGCTCCAAAATCGCAGAATGTCCACTTCCCTTGCCTCTTCTTAGCTAGAATCTCCTTTGCCTTGCCAAACCAAGCTCCAAAGATCAATAATGGCCTCTTTTCTCTCCCAAAACGCTCAAATCTCTTTAGGGTTTCTCTCTAGGGGTTGGTGGCCGCAAATGATGGCCATAAGCCCCTTTAAATAGGTCTCAAACCCTTGGAATTAGGGTTTCATTACACAGTGTGGACTCGCCGAGTCCAGAAGCGAACCCGCGTCAAGAATCGCGATCCTACTCGGGGAGTTTGAGCTCCAACTCGCCGAGTCCACTCACAATTTTCCAAAAATACACCAATAATAAATACCTGGAAATTCCGGGCTGTTACATAATCACGTCTCTACAGTAACAATTCTTAATCGAGTTCTTCTGAGGTAGTGACATTTGAATCATTAAGCATACTTTGATTCTTCCATGGTGTTCTTATTTCTTTATTGTTTAGAATCCAATCGATCTTCAATGATTTATATCCTAACAAGATATATGGTTTTTGCGTATGCATATAAAAAATATTTTTTTTTTCCATATGCATATATATATATATATATATATATATATATATATATATATATATATATATATATATATATAAAGGTTCTAAAAATCGTTCGGTGGTAGCTCAGCGGTCGACTGACGATAAACAATTAATAGGACTAAACGGAGATTAATCAGGGACTCTAAATTATTAATAAAATTATTATTTCCTAAAAATTAAGTATTTAAAATTTTTAAAATAATATTTTAAAATTCTAAAACGCAAAAAATTGAAATTTTAAAACTTTGATATAATATTTGAAAACTTAAAATTTTGAATTTTTTAAATATTTTCTGCCTGTGACTATCGAGGACCGCCAAAGACGAGTTTGACTAATTTCTGTCAATCATACTAATCGTAATTGGTTCAAAATTAAGTATTTAAAATTTTAAAATTTTGAAAATTTTAATATAATATTTTAAAATTTGAAAACGCAAAATTTAAAATTTTAAAACTTTGATATAATATTTGAAATTAAAATTTTGAATTTTTTAAATATTTTCCGCCTATGACTCCGAGAACCGCCAAAGACGAGTTTGACCAATTTCTGTCAATCATCTTAATCGTAATCGGTTTAAAGCCGCTAAGCGGTTAATCGTCGATTAATCTGCCACCAAGGTTGGTATCTGCAACAATATATATATATATATATATATATATATATATATATATATATATATATATATATATATATATATATATATATATATATATATAAAGAAATGGACAATAATTATTAAGAAAAGATTTTCCAAAAAAAGGAGGGGATCTGGTACAATTGACTAATGATGCCCCCACCATATAGGATCAAAATGGGGCCATTTATGCTACCAGCATTTGGATTTTGCAAATCCAACCCTCTGTCCTTTTGTCCCTTTTTAATTATTTAAAAAAAAAAGTCTTAACAAAACCCTAATGTAATTTCATGTTTTTTTCTTTCTTTGATTATATATATATATATATATATATATATATATATATATATATATATATATATATATATATATATATATATACTGATTACTTTTATATGTATAAATTAAGTCAATATGTTGATAATTGATCGAAATAGGTTCTATATAACATGTTAGATGTGTTGTTCTAAAATATTTTTGTTCCATTTATATTATTGGTTTCATATATAATTAAGTCATTTTTTATTGCGACAAATTAGACAAATGATATATATCCTTGATATATTATTTATGTTTGCATTTTGATCAAACACGACCGATAAACGGAATTTGCCTCGAAATTTCATTAAATGACTGATAATCCGAATTTTCATCAATCTTTTATAAGAAAACTGTACAACAACTAAAAGAGTGTCATGCATTTTTTATTTAAATCTGTATGGGAAAAAAAGGTGTTTAACAGGTAAAACCTGCTATAGAGTATGTTACATAGGCCGATTCTTGATAATAACCATAATTAGTTGGTTACTTTTGATGTAATACAATGTATTATTTTAAAATATCAAGGATTGTTTTTTTAATTAATGTTGTTTTACACCTTTGCGTTTCTGTTAAAGTTTATATTGAAGTACAATCCAAGATATCTGAATTTTGTAAGAACACAATTACAGCAACAATTTGGACCACATATTTTCCATCTTTACCGTTTTCTTATAAAGATAGACATTCTCCTTTTTTGTATCTACCGTTGAAAATTAATAACAACGATAACTATTAGAGCATCATCTTTCTTGTAGATATTTTCACATGATGATAATTATTATTTTATTTTATTTAAAGAAAAGCGTTAAATAGCTTTCTTATGTACTATTTTTTTCAATTTGTTACAAAAGTTATACTACTTTATTAATGTATTAAATGATGAACCTTTTAAAATATCAAGAAGGATTTAGTTTCTGAAGGCGATTTGATTTTGAATATCTGCATTTAGTGTTTAGACAAATTTGTATGCAAGACCAAGAGAGATTACAATGTTGGGCTAGTAAGATACCCAACAGAAACAGACAGTGGACTTGGATTACTTGGACAAGATCTCATAAAGTTTTCTTGTTGGTGTGAAAAGTCAAGATTTTGCTGCTGTAATTATTTCTAAATCTACATTTTACTAGATCTATAAATAACTTTTCAAATCTTGGGTCTTTTTTTTTATTATTAAAGCATACAATGGCAGTTTGGTAGTTATTTTTTCAAGTTTTTAAATTTGAAAAAGTTTTTGAAAAAATTAATTTACCATTGAAGATAAGAGTTTTTTTTTTAATCACTCCAACCTTGTAATCGGTTTTGTCCATTTTAACCCTTATATTACATAACAATTCAATTACACCATATTTATATTTATATATTAAATAGTTACTATTTTGTGATTAGTTAATCTATTAATTGAATCTACAAAATCAAAACGAATATATTATTGAAATATATCATTAAAATTATATTTTTTAAACTTTTAGTATTTTCAATATGGCACAAATATCAAAGATTAAAAAAAATAACTTCATATAATAGTTTATGGTTTTATTTATTTATTTAAATATTATTGTCAACTAATATTGTTTCTTAAAAATAAGTTGCATGGGCATCGCCAAACTTTTATTTAGCCTGAGAACGTGTCAACCCGTTCATATGGAAGAGGCTGCTTTGTGTTTTGATAAAGGGTTACGTGGGTCGATTGAAGACATTGTGGTTTGTGGGGGCCCGTTTTTTGGGGACCTACAATGACGACTGGCTTCATTACCAATTAGGTTTGGTGGTTTGGGTTGTACTCAGCAGTAGAGGCTTCCTCCTATGCTTTTGTGGGCTCACGAGCTCAATCGTGGGTGTTACAAGACCACATCTTATGA